CTGGCCCGCCTCGTCCACAGCCATCCTGGACACTTGGTTTGTGTGGCCTTTCCCTGCGAAGGAGTCATTCTCCCCCGTCTCGGAATCCCAGTAATGTGGGGAGGCGGTTAAGGAAAAGCCCGAGTCCTGGGCAGCTGCAGAAGAGCGGGCATGGGGACGGGCAGCGGGCAGGCTCCTCAGGGCCAGCGCAGGCCCAGGACTCGGGTGCAGACCTTCCTCGAGGGCCTGAGCCTGTGGGCAACGCCCTGCTGTTGTGCGCTGCCCCTCTGAGGACCGCAGCAGAGGGCTTCCACTGCAGCTCAACAGGCTGCCAGGGGCAAGGCATCCCGGGCTCTCAGGGGGCGGCAACAAAGGATATTGATGTGCCCATCGTGGCTCCCCGAGTAGATGTATGACTTGCCGGAGTTCCTGTGAACCGTCAGGCACTGGATGGACTTACTGTGACCCTGTGGGGGACAGGCAGGCGGGTGAGCCAAGGACCACGGGGTGACTACTTCCCACACACACTCAGCCTCTGGGGAAAGAGGAGAGAGCTGCCCCAGCCCCACACATGGTCACTGACTCAGGAAGAACGGTGACCCACCGCCAGAGGACCAGAAACTGGTCAAGTGACAAAACCCGAACTGTCCCCTCCCCACCCTGGGCTCAGACCTGCACAGTGGTGAGGCTGTGGTAGCAATGAGACCCCATTCAACAGCCCCTTCCCTCCTAATCCCCGGCATACAGGAGGGGTGGGGGCCCTGGTGCTGGTCAGCCACCCACGTGTCCAGCCTCCACACAACAATAAGCCTGGCCATGCCCGTCCCTGATGACCTTAACCCTCCTTCTCAAGCCTCACAGGGGAGTGAATGACCAGCCACAGGCCAACAGCCAGACCTGAGGTGGGACCCAGCTGGGGAAGGAATCACACAGCCCCAGATGGGGGCATCCTGCGTGGCTGGGGTGGGCCCAGAACCCACCGACTAGCAAACACAGGAGATGGCCGATGGAGACAGGGCAACAGGAGTGCCAGCCACAGGGGCACCTTGATCCCCAAAAGCCGGGAGAGCAGAAAGGGCTCTGCTCTGAGCCTTTGGCCAGCTCCACAAACAAAACCAGACCCACTGGTAGAGTCAGCCCCCAGGACGGAGAACCACTCCAGAGGGGGCCAAGGAGCAGACTGCCACCGTCCTCTACAATGGGACAAGGGGGTGAAACCGCCAGCTTCTTCACTAGCTGGGCAGAAGGAGCAGATGGGCACTGCAGGGCTGCAGAGCAACCTAGTCTAGTGAGGAGCCTCACCTTGATGATGCGCAGGGGTTTGCTGGGGTTGTTCTTGTCCAGGTAGTTGATGTAGCCCGAGAGCGAGACGCTGAGCAGGTGGTCCCCTTGCCACAAGCAGCCCAGCTGCTGGTCCAGGACATTGGTGCCCATGGTGAACGTGTTGACGATGGAATTCGCACTGACGTCCCAGATCTTGGACGTCTTGTCCCCGGAGGCAGAGAGCAGGTGAGAGCTGTCAGGACTCCAGCTAATCTGGTCACAAGAACGGCATGGCCCCCATGGCGAGGGGTGAAGCAGAGGCTCAGGGCAGGCAAGTGACACCCTCCCCCAAGTTCCCCACTGCGGACAGCCAGACTCACAGCGTAAATGCCCCCATCATGGGCCTTGTCCCCTCCCAGGGCGCACACCTTCTCCCCCGTCTTCCCGTCGTAGATGTAGATCTTGGAGGAGACAGAGACACGTGGGTTAGCCGAGTATGCGCGTGCATCAGTGCCCAGCATGGGAAGACTGTGGGGACACTTCCGTATCCACTGTCTCCATCAGGAGGTGAGCCGGCCTGGGCTCGTGAAATCAATGTGGGACAAGGAGCACTACTTCAGGGAGAGTCCAGCTGCTCCAGGGAAGGGGACCTCAGGAAGATGCCTGGCCCAGGGCCAGCCCTGGATTCCTGCCCTGCGGGAGTGGGGGTTCTCAGCTCTGTTCCTCATCCAGGATAGTCAGCTGTCAAGTCAGTCCCCACACCGCCCCTGCTGCCCCTGCCTGGGTCAGAGGACTGCCTTACCTGGCCGTCAGCGCTGGCTGTGGCAAACCTGTTCCCATCGGGGGAGAACCTCACACAGTTGACAAAGCGGCCATGGTCCTGCAGGAAAAGGGCAGTTACCAAGCTGGACAACAGGTCCTGCCTGGACATTGAGGTCCTGGAACGCCCACTGCAAACAAGAAGCCAGCTCCACTCACGAGCTCTCCCAGGGGACACCATTCAGCTTCTGGGAAACGACGACGCGACCACAGACTGTTCCTGTGGCCAGCCCCCACTTTGGGGACATTCCTGGATGTGCACCATCAGCCCAGTTTCACCTTGGCTAAAGGACCCCACTGTCCCGAGCCCCACAAGGACCAGGGTTCTGCTACTCTGCGAATGGAAAGTGCACTCAATGCACACGGTCCCTGGACAGACCAAGACAGCGGTAGCAGCTGAGCTGCTGCGGCAGGAAGCGCCCTAGCCACCATGCAGCGGAGGGTCTGGCAGCTCAGAGAGACGAGCCCGAGGCTGGGAGACCTGTGTCTCGGGTCCACAGCAAACCCGGAGTCGGAAACAAGGGAGCTGACTCCACTGAGCAACCTTCCTTTTCCTGAGGACCCGGGCCGGAAGGCAGGACACTGACGGGAGCAGGTGCTGAGCTCTGAGCGTCTGCCCCTAAGAAGCAGAGGGAGGGATCTCACCACCAGTGAGGGTCTCTCTGGTGCAGTGGACTCCTCTCTGCACTCCTTACCACCAAGTCAGGGGTTCAAACTCAAGAGGGGCTCCACCGTCCAGGACGAAGCAGTCCTACTGTCCCCCAGAACTGACAGTGAACTTGGTTTTGGAGGAGAGAAGGGCAGCAGAGCACCTCATTTTGACCCCCGAGGTCCCTGGACAGACAACGAGCCACCTGACCCAGGAGCCAGAGCGGTGGCCTGCCCGGCCCACAGAGCAAGAAAAGCGAGTGGTTTGGAGCAGCGGGCTGCCTTGTGGAGGTGGGTGCCTCTGGGCACTTCATTGGGGGGGTCAGCGCTTGGCTTGCTGGCCCAAGGAGCTGGAGCTGAGTGACTTTAGGCTGAGCCTTATGGGGGTGAGGCATGCTCTTAGCTCAGGGGTTCTCAACCTTCCGAATGCTGCGACCCTTGCATACCGTTCCTCATGGTGTGGTGACCCCCAACCATAACATTATTTTCATTGCTACTTCATAACTGTAATTTTGCTCCTGTTATGAATCAGGCGACCCCTGTAGAAGGGTTGTTCGACAACCCCCCCCAAGGGGTCATGACACACAGGTTGAGAACCACTGCCTTAGCTAGCGGCAGCCCTAAAAAAGCTAGGTAACAACGTATTAACAGGGCAGAGAACGGTCCTGACTGAACAACTGTGTGCTAAGTGTTTCTTGCCTGAATCGTCACCTGTGAACTTGCCCGGTAAACCCCACGTGTTAAGTATTATCTGGGAGGACTGTGTGGCCACCACCATGAGTTCTTGACCCTGTCCAGAGTAAGCGAACTGTGGGATTATACCTGGGGTCAGAACAGGCAGTAAGGCTGGAGGGAGCCCCAGGAGGTTGGGTGTGGCCCCTAGGACTTTCTCTGACACAGCAGAGGCCAAAGAGCAGCCGAAGAATGTGGAAATAGTGGTCGCCCCACCAAGCCACCACAGAACCAGACACATGCTGTTCTCTATGAAGAGGACACAAAGACACTTCCTTCCAGACAGGGACGCGGACCCACAACCCCAGTGTCCATTTCTGTCCCTCAGCTTCCCCCACAGGTGTGGACAGGTCAGAATGGTTGACAATGGTCTGCATAGGTGCCCACTCCACACACCTGTCTGATGGTGGTGGGAAGGCGGTGAAGTTCACTGGTGGAAGCACAGGGTCATACCGGGTCACTGGCTAATCTCAGCATTCCTTGCCCTTCCCTGTCACCACCTTGTCTGGTATGGAGGGCCTGTGGTGCTCACAGTGTGGCCACCGAAGGTGGGGCAGTGGGTCTCTGTGTGGAGCCAGAGGAAGAGGACACCAGGAATGGGAGGTGGAAGCTGCAGGAGGATGGGGACCCACTGGAGGGGGCTCAGTCTGTTCAGCTGTTAAATGACACCCCCACGGACAATATTTAGAGGGTGACATCCGGTCACCCAAGCTGCCCCAGAGCCAGACTGTGAGTGTGTGGGTGCTTTGTGTACTACTCACTCTGCTGAGCACCACTAGTAAGGGGGCAGCAGCACAGAAGCCTGAGACACCAGCCCCCTAGCCCATCTCCCTTGTAACCCTCAGGAGGACCTGTCTCCCAGACCCCCCACCCTGAGAGAGGAAAACCGTCAGGCCTTCAAAGCCACAGCTGGAATGACAGGGAGCCTGGTGGCACGGTGGTTAAGGCGCTGGCCTCTTCATCAGAGATGGTGGCGCAGACGTCCTCTGGGCAGTTCTCTGTCCTACAGGGCCCCAGGGGCGGAATGGACTGCATGGCAGTGGGGCTGGGGACCTGACAAACGTCCACTTCTCTCAGCTGACCAGACCACTGCTTGCTGCTTCTGCTCCACACAGGCTGCTCTATCTCCCAGGCCTGTCCTGGTCCTGTTCTCTGGCCCTGTCCCCAAAGGCCCACGGTCACAGCAGGGATCACAAACTCAGCCGGCCTCCGGTTTAGAGGACGATTCAGTGAAAGTGGGGTACGTGTAAGGGGGGTTGTGTGCCTAGGGGCGAGTGTGGGGTGCATGCATGGGCTCAATGTGTCTCTGTTGAAACATGCAGTCGTCTAAGGCCACACCGAGAACCATCCCCCCTTCCCACAGCTCCAGCTCCCCTGGTCCCTTTAGAAGGGAGCAGACGTCAGCCTGCTGCACACCCGTCACAGATGTGAGGACGGCTGCGGCGAAGAAAGCAGCATGCCTGCACCCAGACTGCAACCTGCAAGCTGGCTGCTGGCACCTGGCTGGTGCCCTGTGTACTGCCCCCACCCCTCCCCCAAAATCCCAGGGGGAATGCTGATGGGGGGACACCACAGTCCAGCATCGGGCTTCTGTGTGGATCACTCTTCTCCACATTCCTGCCGCTCAAGCATGACTGGCAGGAGGTCTGCCTTGAAACAGCCCCAGGAAAGAAGCGGCAGGGAACTGCTTGGAACAGAAGGAAAGCTAAAAGTAGCCTCTCAGGGGGAGGGGGGAGGGGACATGGGGACACATCTCCTGGTGGGTACGGGGGGAGTGGGTGGGGAATTGGACCTCCCCTTCCCAGGGCCACGTGGCTAGGACTCCCCCACCACAGTCCTCCTGGACAGCTGGCCTCAGCTGCTGAACGGTGCTCACTGCCCTGGGCTGGGGAAGCCATCCCAGGCAGCCTGAGCTAGTATTGACCGTTTCAGTGAGCGCCCGGGAAGCCCACCTCTGGCACCTCCTCCCAGGCCCACGCAAATGAACCCACTCCGTCCCCAGCCTCGGCAGACCCCAGGGACTGGCTTCCAGCCTGAAATGGCCTCTGTCCACCTGGGCTACAAGGAGGCTGAGTGGCCTTGGCTGGGGCAGCGGTTATGTTCTTGGCATAGAGCAAAGGACTGGCCGTCTGACACTGCCCAGAGGTCTCCGGAATAAAGGCCTGGTGATCTTTTCTGGAAGGACACGGCACGGACACCCTATGAGCAATGCTGCCCGAGCCCCCAGGAGTCTCTGTTCTGCGCTCAAACGCAGGATCCTTCACTCTCAGTAGCTTCCCTGCAAACGTGGGGGACCCCCACTGACAGATCTGTCTGGGGGTGCAGGGAGGAGCCAGGAGGACAGGCCCACAGCCATCCTCAGGGTGACCTCCTGATTGAGGGCAGACAGGACTCGCTGGGACAAGACCAGGGCTCCTGTCAGGCTCAGGGAACACGCAGGGAATGGAATCATCTGCTTTCAGCCACGTCTGGGGCCAGGACACCAATGAAAGAAAAACTAACTGGGCGCTGTATTACCTTGCCCACGCTGCACTCAGCCCACAGGAAGACGGCCTCTGACAACAGCCGCCCCAGCTGTGCGAGCACCTGCATCCCAGCAGACTGGGTGGCCCTGGGTTGGAGCTCCAAGATCATCCCAAGGTGCTCAGAAGAAAGGCCTTGCGACCCCCCTCTGTCCTGAAAGCCCAAGGGTGGTGGTAGGCAAGTGGTGCCTGGACGTCCGTGAGGGAGAAGGACCTCCAGGCTGTGTACGTCACCCCCAGGAGGGCCAGGCCCTGGCTCCATCTCCACAGACCCTGCCCAGAGTGAAGCTGAAGAAATGGCGCCAGACAAGGGTGGGAGGGGGGAGGGGGACAGCATGGACACGGGCAGTAGGCCTCCATGGCAAATGGCAGCTCCTTCTGCCGCAGAAACCCTGGTCAGCCACGTACACCCTCCTGCCTGGACCAGGACCTGAGTTTCTAACTCGGCGACTCACCCTGCACACCATAGTCCCTTCCAGGTGAGAACAGGGGCCTGAGGCCCAGCCTTCACCTGCTGAGCCCCACAGTGGCTGGGTGGGTCCCCTGGAGGCCGTCTCTGGGCTGAAGCAAGGCCTGCCCCCAGAGGATGGGCCGCTTTCAGTCCCTGCTGGCTGCACTGAGTCACTCCGATGGGCACCAGCCTCACTGAGCCCTGCAGGAACCCTCTCCCAAGGCCACTCAGTCCACCCAACATGTCCTAGCCTGCTCAGAAGCTGTCTCTAGCACTACCTGATGGGGACCAGGGCCACTGATGCCTGAGCCAGAGGTGCACTGCTGTCTGGCCATGGGCACTGGGCCATCCAGGGAACCCCTCTCCTTCCAGATGCCGCCTTGGCTGTGCAGAGCTAGCTGGGGGCGGGGCCTGCTCTGTGTGATGTGTCCCGGATGCAAGCCAGCCAGTCCCCCTGCCCAGAGCCCAGACTCACTCCAATGGTGAACTTGAACTTGAACGGTGGCCCCTCGAAGAATGCAGCGCAGTTGTCGTCGCTGCCCGTGGCCAGGCGGTACGGCCGACTCTGCTTGATGTCCACGCTGTTGATGACCTTGTTGTGCCCTGTGATCTCACCAACTGACGAACCGCTGTCCCACAGGAAGACGGCACCAAACCTTCACCCAGCAGGAGAGGGGAGAGCGTCACCCACCCCTGCACAGCATGGTGCACGGGAAGGCCAGCCCTAAGAGAGAACTCAGGATGCACAAGGGCGGGGTCTGCCAAGACTAGCCAGGGCACGGGGTGACCCAGGGCAGGCTGGTGCCCTGCTGCACTGCCAGGTGCTGGCAGCCAGCTTGCAGGTTGCAGGTTGCGTGGGGGTGGGGGAGGGGGAAGCTTTCCATCTCCATTGCTTCCATGCAAGGCAACAAGGAAGGAGATGCAGGCACCCTCAGCTGGAGCCCCGGGGCAATGTGCCGGGGAGCTGTGCCCATGGGTTTTCTGGCCTGGGTGCTTACGAGGGGAACACAGGTCTTTCTTCCTCAGCGCAGGGTGACCCACCCTGCTTTTGGTCAGCAGCCCACTACAAATCATGACAGCCACCAAGGCTCCTTGACTGAAGCCGGCCTCGAAGGTATCCTTCGACTGCCCACAAGGAGGCTGCCCCCAGCCCTCCCGCTAATCAGTGTACACCTGAAATGCCCCCCATGAGGGTGGGTGGGGTAGGGTGGCCAGCTCCTGTGAGGCATTCTGCAGACTGCTACAAGGGAGGACAGGGCAGCCGGCCCGTCAGGTGTTCAGCACCCCCACGCAACGCCCAGAGCAGCTCTGAGGAGCTGAGCATCCCGCCCCGGCCTGTTCCCCTGCTGTGGGCACTCAGGGGCTACTCACTTCTCCCTGCCCTCCCCGACCACAGCGACCCGCTTGCTGTCCTCGGTCCAGGCAATGTCCTTGATCTTCCCGGCAAAGGGCTGGTATTCATACTTCAGCAGGTGCTCCTTCTGCGTGGTGTCCCAGATCCGCAGCTTCCCCGACACGTCTGCGCACACACGGGGCAGAGGCACGTCAGCCTGGCCGTGCAGGCCAGGGCAAGCTCAAGTGCCTGCACCTGGGAAGCCAGGTGGGGACAACCCCTCTGCCGGTCCATTACGGACCCCTACACCCCCCTGGGGACGGCAACACACGCAACGGCTAACCAAAAGCCTGGTGCATCCCCCCAGCTCACAGTGCCACGGGGGAGAGCCTGTCTGTTGCCTGCTTCCCGCAGGTCATGGAGCCGTGGAAAGCCCCAGGAACAGTTCTGCTCTGCACTTAAGCCGGCCGGCCAGCCAGAGCCTGGAGGGGGTCCAGGGGCGCATGGGCCTCAGACAACTCCCACCCCAACACTTCAAACCTGGACCTCCCAGAAGTCAGCGCTCCCCATGACACATGATCCTGACGGAAGCCCGCCCAGGGTTGTCTTAGGATCCCAGCAAAGGGGGTGCTGGAGGGTGAGAGCAGTGTGCTGGGGGTGGGACCTCGTCCCCTGCCACATCATCATGAGTGCCCCGCTACCCCACATCCAGCTCGGCCGGCAGCCGGGTGGTAGGAATAGGCAGTCCGTGTACTTAACGGCATGGAGCTCTCAGCTTGGCAGAGGGCGTCTGACGGGTGCATGCAGCCAGCCAGCCAGCAGGGCTGGGGCACAGGAAAAGGGGCAAGGCTCTTGCCCTCAGTGCATCCAGCACCTGACCCCATGTGGGCAGCGCTACCAAGGGGTCCCAGAGCTTCTGCTCCATTCTGGGAGGGACCTGGAAAGGGCTGGCTTCAGCCCAGCGAGTGAGGTCAGCCAACAGTGCGGCTGCAAGGGAGCAGCCAAAGGGCAGGGAGTCATGTCCACACTGGGCCCCACTGGCCAACCCGTCTTCCTCCCATCTCAGAGCCGTCACGTACTTGCTCGCTCTCTCTCACATACACAGTCTGCAGACTCACTCCCAAAGAACTCACACTTACTCTCCCCTCCTCAGTCCTGAGGTCCACTCCCAAGCACACGCTCACACATCCCGACACTCCCCTGCAAACACAGGTGCACGCACACACACAGGTACCGGTGACCCTTCACCATGCCCAGCGCTCCCCACTGCTGGACCACGGCAGGCAGCGTGCCGGGCCTCGCCCCGTCGCCAGCACCAGGCTGATGGTGTCTTGCTGAGGCTGGTCCTGTGCAGCAGTTTCTGCAACACCACCATCTGCTCTGCATGGGCTCCCAAGGCCAAGGGTCTCTGGGGACCCCAGGAGGGAGGGCTTGCAGGGCAGGGAACACAGGGCCGAGGGGTGGAGGCCCTAGCTGACATTCTTGGAGCACCTGGCTCTGGGTTCAACAGCCTACAAAGGCACAGGGCAGACTACACACGCACTGAGCTGAGAACCAAGGAGTTCATATGCCACGGGGCTGAAATGAACCACGCCTGATCAGCGCAAGCCTGCCTGGGGCGGAGTGCCTAGGACGTGCTGTCCCGGCTGGCCAGTCCTCAATCCCACACCCAAGGCTCCTCCTGGGCAGACAGAAACGAAGGCCAGGAAGACCAGTCATTCCACTGAGACCGGGCAGCCAATAAAGCTGGACCCAGGCCATCTCCAGAGGCCCTGAGACCCTTCTTCGCCGGCAGGGAGTGAATGTCCAGCACACAAAGCAGCTGCAGCTCCCACCTCACACCAAGGTGGCTGGCAACTGGCTCCGCCCCTCCCAGCTGGGCAGGTCTAACAATTCTCTGCCGCTCTTCTCCAGGTGTTCCTGCGGGAAGAGTGGGGGGTGGGGGGTGTCCATGCCAGCCTCCCCCTGGTGCTGAAGACAGCCTGTGCACACACGGGCAAGGCTACCAATCAATACCCACTGAGTAAGGGAGCGATGGAACACATGGATGGATGGAAAATGAGTAAGTGGGCAAATAGATGGACACACAGAGACGATGGTGAATAGATGAATGGAGATAAACAGAGACAAAAATGAGTACATGGAAGGATAAGTGGGGGATGAATGTATAGATGAACGTAAAGAGAGGAAAAATACATGAGCAGATGGAAGGGAAGTAGGTGGATAGATGGAAGAATGACGGAGAGGTGAACTGAGTTGATGGGTGATGGGAGAGTGGGTAGACGGACAGGCAGAAAATGAATGACTAAATGAACAGACGGAAAGGTAAGTGGGGTGGATGGGTAGGTTGATGAGAGGAAGGAGTAACGGATTACTGGATGGATGGGAGATGGGGGGTAAGACCCTCTAAGTCCTGGTCCCCGACTTCTCATCTGTACAAGGTAAGGCCCCGCCGGCCCTATAGGCAGCTGGGGTGGCATGACAAGGTGGCCACCAGGCAGAGCTCCTCCCTCCTCTGACTCGGCCCCCACAGCTGGGTGGGGTACAGTCTACTCACACAGACGTGAGCTCTGCGGGCAGACGAGCGCTAGGTACTAGAAAGAAGTGTGAGGAAAGCTGACACAAAACAAAGCTATGATTCTCGTTCGCAAACCCACACACACGCCCGTGCTGGCAACCCAGTGTGGACTCTAAACACCCCACCAACCACCAGCAAGTTGATTCCTAACACAGTGCCCCTGCAGGACACAGAACTACCCCCCCAACAGGGTTTCCACCAGTGCAGATCTTTATGGGAGCAGACCATAGGATGTCTCCTTTAGAGGGGCTGGTGTATTTGAACTGCTGCCCTGCTGAGTAGCAGTTGAACAGACACCTCTGTACTAATAGGCTCCTCTGGCACACACAGCCACCTTGCAGAAGAGCAGCATTGCTGCTGACCTTGAGGTTGAGTGCAGCATATTAGAAATAGGGGGGCTTTCTGATGC